CTCTGAGGCAGCGCGCTCCGTCGAGCTGTGGGGCGGTGCTGGGGAGGCAGACAGCAGGCCTGGCGGCGCTGGGAGGGGGGGTGGGGGACGCCCTGCTCTAGAACCAGCTGGGGCTTTGGGGAGACAGGAGGACAAGGCGACCCGTGGCAAGGAAAACGGGCGGGGGGCAGGCTTTAATCTGGCCCTCCCCCACTTGGGGCCACAACCCCCTGGGCCCACAACCCTCACGGGCACGGCCAAGAGCTCTCTCGGGCACCCAGCAGAGCACCGGCCTGGGCAGGGGAAAGAGACAGTGGCCCCCTTAATCTGGACCGATCTCCCTCCAATTCTGGGGGCAAAGCCCAGAAATCTGAGGCGAGCCATCAGAAACTGAAGAAGTCTTGCAGAGATTTGGGGGGGGGGCGGCAGGGGGGGCAGAGAGAGCAGGAACCTGAGCTGAGAAAACAGATGGCGCATTGCAGCGCAAGGACCCCCCCCGGTGCTTTTTCTCCAGGGAGCTGGGCAGAAGTATGGAGGGGGTGAAGCACAGGAGGGGACACCGGCACCCTCCGGTGGCACCAGACACCAGCCGGCCGGGGAGGATGGGCACTGGAGCCCAGGCCCAGGCAGGCCGGAGCGTTGGCAAGCGGTGCCTCAGTGGACTTGGAGGCCTGGAAAAGGCGGCCAGGCGTCCCGGCTAGACCCGCAGGTAGAGGAGCAAAAGTTCTGCGGGGCACAGCCTGTCCCTGACTAACCCCCCCAGGGCTCGCATGTGCAGACGTGTTCCATGTGTGCGGGAGCGTGTCCGGGCGTGCCCTGTGGATGTGCGTGCCTGCACGTGCCTCCCTTAGCAGCTGTTTCCAAGCTCCCCTCCCATCGCCCGAGCAACAAAGCCGTCGCCAGGAGGCCATTGGCTGCCGGGCCGGTGATGTCAGCATCCCTGAAAAGTTAATAGGGCGGCTGGGGATGAGGGCAAACATGCCTGCCGCTGTTGCCATGGCAAAAAGGCAAGCACAGCAGCTGAGCGGCCGGGCCTCCCTCCCCCCCATCTCCGGGCCCGGCCGCGAGGGTGCGCCACCCACCCCCACCCTGCGTGTGCAGAAGTGGAGCGTGCCAGAAGGAAGCACAGCCGCATCGCCACTTCCTCTCCGAAGAGAACAGGTGCTGGGGCCGCAGACCTGCAGGCCGGTCCCGGAGCCAGGAGCCCCACGCTCCCGCAGGAAGGAAACGTGCTCGGCGCACGTTCAGAGCCCTACGCCCTCTGCACATGTTCTGAGGCTGGCGCAGAAGTGGGAGCGGGGAGGGGGTCGCCTCTGGACTGGGGCTTCGCCGGATAAGAGGAGCTACCCATTTTCCTGCCCTTTCCCCCCTCCCTGGGGGCAGGTGGAAAGACCGAGGGCCACAGAAGGTGGGCCGCCGGCCTGGAAGCTGCTGCAGGGCTTCTGCGGAGCCCGCACGGCGCCCTGGCCCTCGTGCCCTCCTCCCCCCCACCCGCCTGAGTTTGGAAAGGCCGCTGCAACTGCACCAGCAAGCCCTGAGCTGGCACGACGGCCCCACCCATGCCGGAGCCAGCTTTCGCACGCCAGCTCCCCTGCGGAACTCCTTCCCACATGGCGCAATGCTCCGGCTGGAAATACAGGTCGCCAGACTTTCTCCCGCCTCGCAGCCAGCCATGCTCTTCCCGCATCTGTGAACAACTCACAGAACTCGTTGGCGCGGGACAGGTTGGACCCAATGGCGCCAGCCGCCAGGCCTCGGGCAGCAAAGGGTTGCCAGGTGCAAGCAGGGCGTGGGGCAGGCAGGCAGGAAGGGGTGGGCGGCTTCTGCATGGGCTGCCTCTTGCAGTTGGGAAACCGGCCGTCCCTCCCAGCGGCGCGGAGGGAAGGAGACCACAAAGAACAAAGCCGTGCAAACATTAATATTCCATGTGAGAAACCTGCCAGACTGGGAAGGGCAGGCAGATGGAGAGGAAGGGGGGGGGAGCACCTGTGGCACCGTTTCCAGGTGAGAGCAAAGGTGCCTGCAGGTTAATCATTCATCCGCTGCAGCTGAGCACAAGCAGAGGCCCCCAGCAACCTCCATGCGCGACTGCTTGTGGTGAGGGTGCAGTGTGCACGCACCAGGGCTACAACGTGCAACTTGCTGGAAATAGAAGGTCCAGCCCTCCCCAACATGGGGCCCTCCAGACACGCCGGAGGACGACTCCCATCATCCCAGCCACCCAGCCCATCTGGAAAAGAACCAGAACGCGGTGCCAAATCTACAAGGTGCCTCAAGGCTATCATTTTAGGCACATACGTACATAGCTTTAAAAAAAAATGGCTCCCAAAAACGTGCAAGCCTGTGCATTTGAGCTCACTAGGTGAGGGAACAGACATGGGCAATGCGGAACACCCAGAAATTAATCCAAGGCAGTTGCAACTCCCAGATTTCATTCTCAAGGACATATAGGTTGTGGAATTGCAAGCGGGGTTAAACACGGCACCCACGATGGGCAGAGAAGCACCTGCTTCGACCACCAGGTAACCCCAACTCTCTGTGGCTAAAGGTCAGAATTAGAAAGCGAGGGGCCCACCAAGGCCCTTCTGCTTAGACCCCTTACGTTGCACCCAAGGAAGAACAGCCTCCCCGCCTATTATCTGGGGGGGGCAGTTTCCTGTTTTGCACACCTGCGAAGTGAGGAGAGGGAGGGCAGAAGCCAACGGCTCCCGCAGCCACATCAAGCATGGCACCTTCGCCACAACCGGGGAGGGTCTGGGATCTGCACCGAACTTGCACCTGACTTTCTGGGGTAGAATTGAGGTTGGGCACCGCCATCCTTCGAGGGCTACTTTTGGGACCTGGCAGGTTCAGCAGGTGGGACACCAAGAACCTTGCCCTCGCTGCCCGTCTTCTGGGCCAGGGAGGAAATCCCACATCGCGAACCTGCATAAAAGGATTTCAGATGAAAGCTCTTCCAAGACTCTCCTCGCAAACGTCCGGAACTGAACCAGGGACGTGGCTCGACTGTGCCCCAACCTACGTCAGAGGTTGCTTTATTAACCCTGTTTCTACAGACAGAAAACTGAGGCACGCTGTCCTCAGCAGCCTGTGCATGAGGTGCGGCCTGCGCACGCCAGGTGAGATCCGCTCCCTTAGTCTCAGCTCACGCGATCAGGCAGCAAGCTGACACCCAAGGGGGACGGTTTCTGGCCCTCCCACCACAGGGTGCGTGGATGATGGGACTCCAAGTCCGACACTTCTGCAGCGGGCTGGGTCGAGGAATCCTGCCTGCAGCATCTTCTACGCTTGCCCTGCAATTGCAGGATCCAGCCTGCTCGCCTGACACAGGAGGAAGTCTTGTTCCTTCCTGGCAGAGGTAAGAGGCGTGGCATCAGGCGCTGCAGGCCAGATGCCAGCTGTTCAGGTAACAAAGGAAACTGGGGCCACACGGAAGAAGTGTCCCGGGGGGGGCAGAAGGGGTTGAATAAGGCTTCCCCAAGGATGCAAAGCATCTGGCGGGGAAGGAAGACTCCGAAGGCAGTGGTGTCTAGCGGTTAGACTGGGGAGAGATTGGGTTCACTAACAGGAGGGCGCTCAGCCGAGCCACCTAATTCTGGCGTTCTCAGGTTTCTAACAGACTCCAAGGAGGCACGCGAACTCGAGCACCCTTCCCCGGGCTAAATTAAGGACCAACGATAAAAAGGGGGGCAGGCAGAGGAGCTGGGGGAGGGCTGCACCAAACTAGCCACAGGTTTGCCCGGTGGGAAATACAGAAACACCCCTTCTCCCGGCACCAGCTCCGTTTTTTACTTCTGCATCTGTCTCTGCCGAAATCAGAGCCCCAAGGGGGTGAAATTCAGCACCACATTAACAAGATCCTAGTCCCTAAGAGAGGAGATTTGAGACCCAGGCGTTTGGTAAACATCTTCTCCACACCTGCTCATTAAATCCAAGGCCTTATGGTTTCTTCAAACAGCATGTGGGGCTGGAGCTGGGGAAGGGTTAGGGGCCCAGCTAAATTGGCTGAAAACTGTAATTAAGAAGTGAATTACAGCCTCCCTCTCTTGAGAAACAGAGATGGAGATTGAGGGTTTGCCTAAACACCTGGCATCGCATCACAGGCACAAAAGGAGGGCATGTGGGTGAAAAATACCTTTTTGCAACTGAGCCAAAAAGAACCCCGAGCTCTGCGGCAGCCTTTCTCAACCAAATGTCATCCCTCCTGCACCAGCCGGTCGAGATGCGCGTTCTTGAGAGCCTAACCTTCTCCTGAGGGTTGTGAACCGTTTGTGCCCGAATAGCGTATTAAAAAAATGGGGGGGGGAGCAACGTTGGCTCAACGGCAGCGATTCACTTGTCTTTTAAAAAAGGGATCCCCGATACTGAAGTCAGCTTCCAGAGCTCATTCTAGAAATGCATTCTGTATGTGCTCAGAGACACTAACAGAAGCAGCAGCAGCAGAGTAACGCTCCCAAGACGGCAGCCTTGACTTTTAAGTGAAGGAAAAGTGTTCCATGGCTAAGTTTCGTGGTTCAGGTCTAACTTTTTCTTAACCGCCCCCTCGTTGTTGACTTCGAACTACACAACAGGGTCTCTTTCCCTTTTCCAGTCTTCGCTTGCCCTCTCGTGGAGATCCATTACATTACAATGCCTGTTTGTAGCAGCGTCGGTCCCAAGACTGCTGGATCACAACTCCTATGGCTATGTTGGCTGGGGATGATGGGAGCTTCACCCCAAGGTCTGGAGAAAACCCGGTGGCCAAAGGCAGGGCACTCGGTTACCTGCTCGACAGCCCGCGTCAGCCGGCCCACGTCTGTCTCTTCCTGTGTTTGTGATCCTGACAAATGGCCCTCTGAACATGCTCAGGAGCTACTCATCGCTTCTTCATCGCTCCCTCTAGAGCCGAGCCGAGCCAGTCCTGCACTGGGTTTGGGAGAATCAGTGGCCATTTCAAGGCCCTTCTGAGCCTGGCGCTTAGAAAGAGAGACTCTTTCTTGCTAAGCCATGGCTTAAAGTTGGGTTTACAACAAACTAACCCAGAAACTGTGATTTACAATGGAATGACTGGATTCCATCTTTGTGGAGGGGGACAATAACGGCTTAGTTGGTTTTGTCACGGGTTAGGCCCACAGAAGGAAAGTGATATTGGGAAAAAAATCTTTAACCAGGCTATCATGATGGCGTAGGACAGTGTTTTTCAACCTTGGCCGCTTGATGATGGGGGACTTCAACTCCCAGAATTCCCCAGCCAGCCAT